AAACCCCTTAACCACTGAGGGTTAAAGCCGCCTGGGTGGTGGGGGGGGGGGGGGGGGGGTGGTCTGTTTTTTTTACGCTTAGGGTCCAGGACGAAGCCTGCACATGGTGCCACTCAAAATATATAGAAGTGCCACCCCGTGGGATTGTATCTTTGAATTCATTATTAAGTCGTATCTAAATGCGATTTTGGCGCCCGGGTAACGGCCACCTTCGCACGGCCCTGTATAAGCTGTGCCCGATGCACACCAACAGAAGATGCATTATATCTTGTGGAAACATGTTTTAAACATTTCAATTGATCTTAACTCAGTTTTTTTTTTTAAGCCATGGCCATACCACCCTCCGGGGCAAGATTCTAAACAATCCTTACTTGGAACAGTTTTCCCCTGAGCCGGACAGCGTCGCAGAACTGCCTTTCCTGCAGGTGCTTCTCCAAGCGTTTGGTCTTCTCCAGGCAAGCGTCCAGCGAGACCCACGTGATCTCGTTGCCGTGGATGCCGATGACGCAGGGTCCAAAGTCCGGTGGGACGTCCTTCAGTGCCTTCACCGCCTCAGCCCCCATCCTTATCCCGATAAGTCTGTCGTAGGCCGAGGGCGTGCCACCACTCTGGGCGCACAGACGCACCGGAACACACCATTAAAGACACGTTGATTTTTTTTTTTACAATTTTATATTTATGTACAAATATAGATATATTGGTTACTTCAGAGTTTATTAATCATACAAATAACCAGAACGGGCTGAGAGGTAAAGTCTGGTAACTTTACATTATATGGTCTCATTCACTTCTTGTTCCCCTCCCCCATTGGTTTTGTTGAGACAAAAAAAAGGGAGAGTTGCGGAATAGTTCTACATGAAAATATTAACATTCCTGAGCAGCAGATTTCGTGGGGGCCTCGAAAACTTTTAAAAACAGTATTTATGTATATAAGAACATGGGCACACAAAAAAACATGGTTGAGAATCGCTATTATTGACATTTTACCCCCCCCCCCCCTTTCCAAATCTCCTCCTGTCAAAATCTNTTATATGGTCTCATTCACTTCTTGTTCCCCTCCCCCATTGGTTTTGTTGAGACAAAAAAAAGGGAGAGTTGCGGAATAGTTCTACATGAAAATATTAACATTCCTGAGCAGCAGATTTCGTGGGGGCCTCGAAAACTTTTAAAAAAAGTATTTATGTATATAAGAACATGGGCACACAAAAAAACATGGTTGAGAATCGCTATTATTGACATTTTACCCCCCCCCCCCTTTCCAAATCTCCTCCTGTCAAAATCTGATGCAATCTTCGGTTTTATATAACGCATGATTTTAAAATATGTGACGTCACATACGATCTTTTCCACGCTTCCCCCCTTAATTTCGGAGACACCTCCTCACCTCCAGAGACTGACGTACTTTATAGACGGCCCCATACCTGTGACCAGAAGAAGATGACACGCATATATTACAACAAATTGGCTGTTTCCAATGATAATATCTCACACTGTAATACTATTTCTTTTCTACTCTGTTTTCAGCTTATTCGAATTATTTTCCTTCGCAAACCTTCCTCTTTCACTCATCTTACCCTATTTCAATTGGCTGGGTTTTTTTCATAGTCACCCTATCTTCCATTATTACTTTAAAGCCGTACTATGACGTCACCGGCACTGTATTTATTCGCCTGTCACGCCAAACACCCCCCCCCCCCACACACACACCCACTCCCACTTCTCTGACAACACACGCACCTGGACGTTGCCGAGGACGGTGACCTTGCAGGAGATGTTCAGCTTCTCCTGCAGCACATTCATGATGTCCTCATTGTAGATCTTCTTGCCCTCTATGTCAGTGGCGCCCTCGGACTTCAGGATCAGGAAAATTTCGAGCCCCATGAACCGATCATCCCGAACCTAGTGTTGCAGACGTTAACATAGAGGAGAGATGAGAAAGTCCCCAGGGCGAAAACATTACATCATTAGAAAATCCATCGTCTAGGGATGATGTGCGTATTGGAAATATAAAAAGAATAAAATAATTGTTGACATAAAAAGACGAAAGTTTACTTGAACTAAATGCATGAATTTTATTCATCCAGAGGTGTACCCAAACTTATTGTATAGCTCATCCATACATAGGTGTGCCCCACTTTATTATATAGCTCATCCGTCCAGAGGTGTACCCCACGCTATTATATAGCACATCCGTCCAGAGGTTTACCCCACGTTGTCATATAACTCATCCGTCCAGAGGGGAACCCCACCTTATTGTATAACTCATCCTTCCAGTTCCCTTGTGGGGGCCATTCGGGGATAAAAACCATGCTTGCGTCACAGGCCACGCCGACGGCTAAGGCAAGATAGCCACTGTGGCGACCTTTGACCTGGAACACAGGGTAAATGTTTTATGACTCACCTTAAAATGTCAATGGCAAGCCACAAACAAAACAAAACAAAAAAAGAACACTAGGGATATTTACATGCAATATATAAGACGTGGCAAACTTGCGTTAATTACTCAACCATGACAAAAGTCAACTTTATATGTCAAATGGTTTAGAGTGGCCCAGTGGCAAATCAGTCTACATATATAAAAACCGGTACGGTGACAAATGCGCAAAAAGAGATTCGTGCACACGGTAATCGCGCACAGAAAACTCCGTACAGTCAAAACAACACGAAAAATTCGCACCCAGAAAATTCCACGCTCCGGTAAATGCGCACTTACAATATCGCGTACACAAACATTTTGCGTACATAGATAAATGCGGACATAGAGGATTGCGCACATTAATAATGTTGGTTTTAATGCAAATTTTTACAGGCCCAATGCATGCATGAGAGGCTACAAATAACTAAGAAAATATAATAAAAACTGCAGTATATAAGAATAAAAAGAATTTGTTTAAAGGAACAATTAATTATTATACAACGCATCACTTATCTCTACCCCCTCCCACCACCTCCCCCCAAAAAACAACAACAACACAACAACAAACTCTTGACCCCTGTTATACCCCCTAACCCCCGACTGCTCAACCCCATACCAACCACCAACCCCCCCACAGTCACCACACTACCTCTCACATCCAGCTCCGGGAGGCCCCCCCCCCCCCCCC